TTTTGATGAAAGAGCTATCCAAGCTATAATGCTCTGGGAATAAACCAAGTAGAATTTTGTCTTGAAATAAATGACTTTAAAATTTTATAACATTCAGTGAAGATTCATTTCTTATTTTAAAAAAAGATGAATTTCTCCCATTAGATGATGGATGGACAGACCTAAATTACACAGGAGGAATTTCCCATCAGGAGATAGACAGATAGACTGTTTTGTAGAGCTTCAGATTCCATTGCTAGTAACCTATGAAATGGATTTTGCTATCAATAACTCAGTCAAGATAGAGATCAGATTCTTTACTTTATTTCCTTATATCTAGGAAAAGAAAATTTTTTTTTATTAATTGGACACTGAACTAGACACCCAGGGAGACTGTAGAAACATGAAAGACACAGCCCCAGTCCCAGTCAGACATTATGGTGTGGTAGAAAATAAATACATAAAATAAACTTAAAAAAATAAATCACAGTCATGACCGACACCCTGAGTGTAGAGGAGGCAAATGTTAAAAGAATTCAGAGTGGGGTGGGAAGAGAAGAAATAATGGAGGTGCCTCCTAACTGGGGTGATTAAAGGAGAGACTTCAAGGAGAAGGTGGCATTGAAGACAAGTGTTGAGTATCAGGTAAGAATTCATTAGGTTGAAGCCAGCATTTCCATTTGTTGAAATACAGTGAGCAAGGATAGAAAAGTACAAGTTGTGATTGGAGAATGCTGAACAAACCTCATAGCCAGACCAGAGCATGAGCTAGTAATGGTACATAGAGCCAAAAAATTGCGTTGCAGAGTAGAGAGGTCCTGGGGTACCATTTTGACTTAAGTAAGACTATTTTGACCTCATCTAAGGAGTCAGCTCATTTTCCCATCATTTCAATCTGTTGATAACAAAATTTTTATATGTACAGAAATGCACATACTGCTTGTTTTGGAACTGGGTTCACCAACACTGACTAACTCTATGTCACTAGGAAACTCACTTAACTTGAGCTTCAGCTTCCTTTTTCATAAATTGGACCTCATGCAGTGTTGTAACAATGAAATGAAATAACATAGAAACAGATAGTATAGTGCCTAGCACATAGTAGGCAATAATTTTTTAGAAAACTATGCGTAAAGTTATGTACAGTATTACTAAAAGCATTTCATGCTTTTGTGACATGTTAAAGGTTGTAATCATAATTGCTTAGACTGTTTTTGAATGTCTCAAAGAATCTGTCACCGTGATCGTGCTCCGGCTTAATCACATTCATGAGGTCATGCACTTGAGGTGGAATAACCCCCACTGCCTCCTTTTCTCCGCTCTTCTGTATGTGAGTGCATCCGGTGATTTTGTGTATGTGTTGTTTGGTACTTTGAAATCTGGCTCTTCTCTAGTGGAGACTGGGGAATTGTTGGCTTCGTCTAACTTCAGAAGCCCTGCATGTGATGTAGCTGTCCTAATAAGTTAGGACTAATAAGTTAGTTTCTCAGTCTGCCCTGCTGGGAGAATTCCTAGCTGTAAGAGGACAGGAACTTTGGTTCTCCAGGATCATCATCGTCTGCTGTTTATAATTTTCTTGTTTTATCTCTTATTACAACCTAATGCTATAATCTAGCCTGAGAAGTTTACACAGTATTTCTGATCACATCCTGCCTGCTCCCTTATTATTTATGTGATTTCAACAACCCATCTCTGATAAAATTAGGAAAAGATCCTGTGCCTGACTGAGAGTTCCAGACTTTTTATTCCATTTACTTATGGATTATTTATGAACATTAGATTTTAGTAGGAATGTGATTACCTATCCATCATAAAGATAAGTAAAAGTTTTATTCTTTCATTATATTTTAATGAAAGTTTAAAGTTTGCTGATAAATTTTTAAAAACCAGCTGAAATAATTTTATGCCATTAGTCATTTTTATACTGTTTTATAACTCAGGTAATTAACCAATATTTCAAAAATATTTAAAACATTAAAAAATTAGAAATATTCATGACAAAATATATTACAGCCTTTGGAATAGAATTCTTATCTGTTAAAGCACAGTTAACTGTATAAAAAGCTGGGGAAATTTCATTTACTTTGAAAATTATTTTCTTTTCCTAAACTGCATAGAAGCTCTTCAGTAGCCTTAAAAGGGAAATTCATATTTTTCTCTTAATTTATTTCAGAAGGGCTTATACATCCTTCTATGACACGGTGGATCTCCCCAAAACTTGAGGATGGTATTCACCATATTGTAGGATAACAAGTAAATAAATTTTTCATTTTCACTAATGAAAAAAAGCATTTGACCTGAGTCCTTTCCTCTGACATTTACTAGTTATGTGACCTGGGACAAACTTTTCAACCTTTTTTATTTAGCTTTCTCATCCCACCTAGCAGAAATTGTTCATCAGTTTCATAAATAGCTGTGATTCTGTTGAGCAACTGGTAGGTTTTTAATCTTAAAACCATTGTAAATCAGCGTACTGAGCAGATTGTCCTGATTCATGTTGGCTCTTCAAGGGGTTAGATAAAATTTGGCCCATCTCTAGTAACTACGTGCGATTTTATAGCATGCGTTTTGTGTCTTAACCTCATTTTTGGCTTTGTCTAATCTCCCTTTAGCTTGATTTTTCTTTCCTTTATTTAATTTATTTTTGTATCATTTTAATCTGTGGAATCTGCCTTAAATTCTTCCTGGCCTGAAACAGCATGGTGTGGGGCATTCAGTAGAATAAATAATGTCTACTTCTCAGAGCTATTGTAATATAAATAATGAGTGATATACATAGTGGGTATCATCCATATTTTTTAAACTGAATCAAAGAATATTGGTTATAGCTGCTTTGAACTGAGGAAAGCTTAAATTGAATTTGGCTTTGAAGGGAAGATAAAAGTTTCCGAAGAGCACAGTGGCCCGTTGCCAACTGTCCAGAAGTTTTTTGTAGTTTATATAAAGATAAGTGAGTATATCTGGACGATTCTTTCCCTTTCAGCCTTAAACATGGTAAAACACTCATGTTACTCATCTATGTGAAGGTTTCATCCATCTATAATCAACCCACAAGCACTTTATATTCACAAGATCTTAGAAATGTATTTAATGGGATTTTCTGATAAATGTGTCTTGGTAGAGGATATTTTATAGGGTAGTTTCTCGGGTTTAAATCATATTTACAGTCAGTGGAATTATATGTTTAGAATTTGTGTAATTGTGCTAAGAAGCCTTGAATTTGTAAAAGGAAACCATGTTAATTGGTATAAACTGTTTCATGAACTCAGAATTCAAATATAGTCATAAATATTGTTTTTAAAGTAATCACTGAAACGCCCACTTATTAGCAGAAAGTACAGCATCTTTCTTCAGAATTTCTGCTGGTCTCTGAATTGTCCCAAGAACTTTAGTGGCTAACGTAGCCCAAAAGAGTTCACCAGGGGCTTCCATATCCGAGAATGTGGTGTGTGGTATATACACGAGTCTGCATTGCATATGTGAAAGAGTCACACCAGTCCACCACTGTACCTCCCCGCCATGCACTAGTGGTGTTGAATGTTGGTGTCAGCCTGCCCAGCAGAAGATGCAGGCTGCGTTGCCCCAGGTACCTGTTCAGGCCACCATGGTGCCCCATGGTTGAGCTCCCAAGGTTATAGCTGTTAGCACTCAGCTCTTTCAGTTCCTGTCACAGATGCCTCTCACCTGTTGTTCTAAAAGCAACATAAACACTGAGTCAGGACTGGTCCTAAAGTCTCCATTTCCACTTCCCACCATGGGCTCATATGCTATTATGTTTTTAAAAAGAAAGTCCTTATTTCTGAAAACCTCTGAGTTATTCAGCCACCGTCTAAACAGGGCCTCTAGGAGATCATATTCTCAGTCTTACAAGAAGGGCTGCCTACTGTCCATGACTCAAAGGAGATTCACCCTTCTAAGGAAGATTTCCCCAGTGATCTCCAGCTTGTTCATACCCACCCCTCTTGGAGGCAGTGATTCAGAAGCAATTTTGTGCCTTCTCCCTCTTAGGTGAAATGGGAAAAAAAATGAATTTAATTTTTGGCAGGGCATTCTGCTACACCTGTAACCAGTCTCAAATGGAAAACAGGTTTTAAATAATCTATCGTGCAAGAGCCTTCATGTTTAAAATGAAGAAAATAGACATGAGTGAGAGAAAAACAATGAATTTAATAAAATAAATATTGGTTGGGTGTGATGGAGACACAAAACTAGCTACTTCTGCTAATGTGAAGGATTGGGAGAGGTTTCAAATGGTGAATCATTAACTCCTCAAGGGTAACTAAAATAGATATTTTTCTCTTAAGGGCTCAGGATTTTTATTTATATAAACACTGTTTCTGCCTCCCCTCCCTGCCCCTGCCACCCCTCCATCCCTCACCCCCACTGAAAAGAAAATATACAGCAGAAGCCAGAACCAGAACATGGAGTACACAAGTTGGTAGAATCAGTCCTTTCTTAGTGTTGCAGAAAGGGGGAGTTACCAGTTAGTTCTCAGCTCTTCTTATCAATTTAAATTCAGAGTTTATGGAGCTAAGGAATTGGACTGGAAATCGTAAAATGGGAGCCATGATCTATCTCATATGTCTTAGTGAGGACTTCTGCTATGAGTCACTCCGTAGTCACGAGTTGTGCCCCGTTCACATGGGGCCTCTCTGCTAACCTAGGTAATGAGGCAGCAAGGCAAGGAATGGGTCCCTTTTTCATCAGTCTGTCCTTGGTACTCTAGTTGAGTATTAGCAGAGTTGTTCTATCTATACCTGTTTATTGCAGATATTTTAATAACACATTTGCTTTAAAGATTAAGAATTCCTAATGATTTTTTCCTACCTTGAAAGCAAGCTTCTTGTTGCTTGTTCCAGTGTTTTATTATTTTGTGTTTTATATTTGTTTTAAAATAGTGTAGATGAAAGCTATTCAAAAGAGCAGTGGGAGAAAGAATGATCATATCAGAGCAAGTTATATGTAGACATTCTTCTCCAAGTGAGACGTATGTGCTCAGTGGTTATTTTTGTGTATTACAGGCCTTTCGGGAAGACCTGGAATGCCTTATTCAAGAACAGATGAAGAAAGGCCACAACCCAACTGGACTGCTAGCATTACAACAGATTGCAGATTATATCATGGCCAATTCCTTTTCGGGCTTTACTTCACCTCCCCTCAGTACGTCAGTTTCAGGAAATTTTTTAAATTATAATTTTATCTCTACTTTGAACACTCTACATCTCTAGCAGTGTATTCTGCTTTGGTTCAATCCTTGTGTTTATAGCATCTAATACTTAGAATAACATAGTGTTAGAATCTCTTACTATTTCATTTCAAGCAGGCATTTACTGGACTTTGTGAAGATTACAAAATAGTTGCAAGACATGGTCCCTGCCCAGGATAAATGTGTGTCTTAGTTCTGAAGACACACCATGAATGCACAGAAGATTAAAACTGCAAGATAACTATACAGGAAAAAATTACACAGCAGTTCACAAGAAATTATCTAATGACCTTTTATAAGTCATCATGCTATGAACTCGGAGTCAGAATTGATTATTGGCTGAAGTGGACTGAGAAAACTTTATGTAAGTCAAGAGGCCTGAGCCAATCAGGCTTCAAAGGATGGAGTAGTTAGAATGTGGTATAAAAGAGGTGTTCAGGACATTTTATTCCTTTTCATAGCTCTTTAGTGAGAGCACTGGTCTGGTGAGCTGAACATTGTAAGGATACCAGGAATCATGAGGCTTTGAGCTCAGGGACTTCACAGCTCAATGAGGCACGCACAGAATGCACTGCAGTCCCAGGGCAGCCCACAGAGTGCCCGAGGACACTGTCAGGGGCCGTTCCATGTCAGAGATGAGGGGTTTTCTTTCCATCTTTTTTCTTTTCCTTCTCTTCCTTCCTTTGTTCTTCTTACCTTTTGTTGTTCTTGGTTAAAGATTTGTAAGTAGGAGTTCAGTGAGTTCAGGTGCTTTCCAAATGGAAGAATGATATAAAAAGAGACATGTGGGAGCATGCAAGGTAGGAGTGTTTTGTAAAACTCCAAGTGACTAGTAGGTTGAACCATACACACTGGTTAAAGAATCTTGAAAGAATCCCAGTGTGATGTATAAGTGCTTGAACTAAAGTAGTGGCTGTGGGCACAGGAAGGGAGAAATCAGTGAGAAAAGCATAGGTAAGGAGTTAGGTAGACTTAGGTTGTTGTGGTGAAGTGGGGTGTGGAGGGGAGAATTATGAGTTCTAAAATCACTCGTTCTTCTAGCTTGGAGAAACATTCTTTCAAAAGAAACAAAAGTTGAAAGGCTTGAGCTGGGTTGGTTGGTTCTTCCCACAGTATTAAGTAGCTGTTATGTACCCTTAGCCTGTTGGGGATAGAGGTACAGTAGTGAACAAGACAGACAAGATGCCTATGTCTGTGGGGACAGAAAATAGATGACTTGAAGAACACGGTCAGAAAAAGGCAGTGTTTTGCAGAGATTTAAATATGGTGATTTGATAGGAGAAACTGGGTAACTGCTTTAGATCGGGGGATCAGAATCTCTCCAAAGAGGTGACATAAAACTAATCTGAATTGAAAGAAGAAACAAACCATACCAAGATCAAGAGAAAGTATTCCAGATAGAAGGAACAAGAGCCAGTGTCAGGTGGGAACGAGGTGAGGAGGAGTTTGGTGGTCTTTTCAAAGAACAAAAATAAAGACTTGTCTGGGGCATAGTTTTTGAGGGGCCAAGTAGAGCAAGTGAGGTCAGAAACAGAGGCTAAATGACCTAGGGCTTTACAGCAAGGGTTGGAAGTTTGGATTTTATTTTGACTTTGGAAAGCCATTTTAAGCAGGAGAATGATGTGGTCAGACCACTATAGTTTCTGTGGAAAGAATTAACTGGGAGGTTTCATGGTACTCTAAGACCAAAAAAAAGGAATGTCCAGAGTTTGGCTTGGTAAATGAAGGAAGTTCAAATTCAGGCACGCCAGAGTTGCCAAGAAAGAGTTGCCAAGACACTGCAGCAGTTCGAAATACAGTCCTAGAGCTGAAGAGAGTGGGTTGGTAGGTGGACATAAAGAGGTATTACTCAAAGCCCTGTTTGTTGATTAAATAATCCTGCAAAGAGTGTTTGGAAAAAAGTCTAAAGAAAAAATTACAAAAGTTGGAAGAGGAAGACTAGGTAGGGAAGACAGAAGTAGTAAGAGGAACTATCCTTTGAGTGTTCTAGATACCATGGCAGGAAAGGGGAGCTTCAGGGAGTGCTGGCTGGAATGCACAAAGGCATGGCAACAGGAAGGCCAGGACCCAGGGTCAGAGGTCAGGAAATAGAAATCAGCCAGTTTGGCTGGAATATTTATGTTGTGTTGTGAAAAGTGAGTGTTCAAGTTGGAAGGGCAGAAGAATAGGAGGTAGGTTAATGGCTGACTCTGAACTTCTCTCAGAAATTAATACTCTTTTGTATGGCTTACATAGTAAAACTATTTCTTTGAATTAGTTTGCAACATTTCAGAGTTAGAAGACCTCAAGTTAGAGTCTTGATTTGAGACTTCTCCTTAATGTTTGAGAATCTGGGACCCAGATTCTCACAAGAACAGCTGGCTGGTGAGTGTAGCAGCCCCTCCAAACCAGGTATGGGAGCTCTCATAGCCTGCAGACTGCACCAGGCCCAGCTTATGCATTTACACTGATTTCCTGGCCCCTGCAGGCCTTCAAGTTTGGGGTCCTGCAAAACTTTGAGCAGGGGAATAGTGAGGTTAAAGGTGGTGCTTTAGGAAACGCACTCTGATGGCTTTTTACAGAATGGATTTACAAATAGAGGGACTAAAGGCAAGGACAAGAATGGGAAGGCTTCTTGCAAGGGTTACATGCAAGATAAGGCCCAAACTGGAGTATGGAAATTGAGGGGCCTTGTGAAGAAGAGAGTGATGGAACTTGGTGATATATTACATATGGTGGCCCAGGGAAGGTTAAGAGGTAAAAGTTACTTAGTGTTTGGACCTGCAGGCATTGTAATACCAATATTAGACAAGTATAAAGAGAAGAAAGAGAGAAGGTAAGAAAAATCAGGGGAGATAAAATAATTTTAGGTCTTTTAATTTTTAGGGTATTGTGTCGTAGGCAGTAGAAACAGGTTGATAAATGGGCAGCAGGGCCTGGTCAGAGATGAAGATCAGGATGTCATCCACAGAGAAATAACAGCGGGAGACTTAAAGAGTATAGTGTTTTTTATGGAGAAAAGTAAAATGAGAAACAGTGGAAAACTGAGCTTTGGGAAAAGACACAGTTGGAGGAAGGAAAGGGAAGAGAACATATTGAAGCATGAAGAAGAGACAGGTAAAAAGGGAGCAAGAGATCCGGATAGTATCCCACAGGCCTAGAGAAGAATTCCAGGAGAGAGGGGAATGTGGGGTCAAGGAGAGTGAAGACTGAGCAGAAGTTTAATTTAGCAATTGGGTCATTAGAGATCAAGACTAGGTTCTGTTGCTTGGTGAGAAGCCAGACTACTGTTTTAATGCATTCCTTTCTAAAATGTTTTTTGTTTGAATAAAAGTCAAAAGACTTATTAGAAAAGTAGCTTTCTGTTGAGATATTTTCGTCATAAAATTGGCAATAACCTAATTAGTATTAACATTTTCACTGTTGGAGTCACATGACCCTTTTCCTCCAGTGGTGTGAGCTTAACGCCCTAGCAAGTCACTCCCTGACAAGTTCTAAATGAAACAGCAAAGAGGACAGCCTGTACTGTAGTCTTCCTCTGTGCCCTTCTCTGAAGGAAGATAAGCTAATGAAACATTGTGTGGGTTGGTAAGTGTCAGATCATTGCTGGCAAAGCTGGACACTCCCAGACTCAGGCTGCTTTCAGATTAGGGATTACCTGACCTGAATTTCTCCCCAATTTTTCCTCTTTAGGTCTTGGCATGGTCACACCTATCAATGACCTTCCTGGGGCAGATACATCCTCATATGTGAAGGGAGAAAAACTGACTCGTTGTAAACTTGCCAGCCTGTACAGACTGGTGGACCTGTTCGGATGGGCACATCTGGCAAATGCATATATCTCAGTGAGTTACTTGGCCTTCAATTCCTTCTGTTTTAAATCCCAACTAGAAGGCAACTGTGTTCTTCTTACCTTTACTCAGAAGTCAGTTTTCAGAGTTCCCCCTGAACCTAATGTGCTGGGTCACAGCCCAAACCTGACTTAAGCCTTATCTCCGAGGGAGAGGCCACAGTTATCCCACCTTTCTTCTTCAGTTACTGTCTGTGTTGTTTCTTGAATTCAGTCATAGAACCTATGCAGGAGGAGATCTTTCTGATAGAATTTTCCATCTCCGTGTTAATTATATCTGAGTATCAGTTACACTAACAAGCTTTCGGGATAGGAAAGAGAGGGGGTCAAGGAAGTTTCCTCTCTGGTCTTTATTTTTTTGACATATTTTGCCCCTTCATCATCATTTTGTTTTCAGATTGCCGTACTTGAAACCAAGACAGTATCTGCAAGAAAAAAGTATGAAAATACTGTGTGATGGAAATAGCACAGTTGTTAGCTGCATCTTCCTACAACTTTCCTCCCTTCCTCCAACCCATTCCTTAGTTTCCCCTTCCATCTCCACCTTAGACTTTCTCCTTTGCCCATTTTTCCTTAAATCCATGTTGTAAATCAGGATTATAGTTATTACCACATTAGGTTGAATAATATTGGTGTTTGCTTATCATGAATGTAGCTGACCCTAAACAATCTTAGAACCCACAAAATAACACTTTAGGTAAGTCGAGTAAATGGAAACTAATGTCAGACTTCAGCAGGACTTGAGTGTTGAGGGAAGGAAACCTTTCAAGGAAGGTTGCTTGTTGCCTCTTTAATTTCTGCTTTGTTGTTTTGTGTTTTTTTCCCAGATTTCTTACTCATAAATATAATCCTAGTCATGTTTACATTGCAAAATACAAATACCTCACAGTAATTCCCTATTGTTTTTTCTTTCTTTCTCCCAGGTAAGAATAAGTAAGGAGCAAGACCATATAATAATAATTCCCAGAGGCCTGTCTTTTTCTGAAGCCACAGCCTCCAATTTGGTATAATTTTCATTCCTTTGTTACTTTTTCTTTGTTACTTTGTGCTTTTCTGATAGTTTTTAGCATTTAGACAGGACGGAACAAGAAAATGTATAAATGGAAAAACATTTAATAGTAAGCAGGGAAGAATATACAAGTTACGTTGGTTTTTAAGAAAAGCGTTAGGCAATATTACAATATCTTTGTATGTTGACAATGGTAGCTGCACTTATTGTGAGCATTTAGTAGTGTATATAATTGCTGAATCATTATGTTGTACACCAAAACCAATATAATTGTATGTCAACTGTATTTCAATTAAAAAACAATAAATAAAAATTTTAACATAAAAGAAGAAAAGTGTTATGGTTCAAGAAAAATGGGTAGTTGAAGAGACTAATAAATAAGTTGGTCTTGGCAGGTTCATGTTTGAAGGGAATTTTTAGAATTTTTTTTACCTTGTACACTCTGATATTTGTTTTAAAAAAACATACACAAAGTCTATATATATTTTATAGGTAGACAAAGTTCAGCTGTTGTAAATACAGAGTTCCTATTGGCATTTTATTTTTCCATGATTGTACTAGCCACTGTCATCAGCCTGTGGAACAGCAGGTGCTACCTTAGTCTGGGTACTGCGGTGTTAGCAGGTGGAAACTTTCCAGCCAGTTCGGTAAATGACAGACTTGTCTAGACCTTTAGTGAAGAGCTTAAGTTACTCAGTTTTTTGGAAACAAATTCTTGCTAAATATTAAGATTTGATGCAGGATACCTGTTTTTGTAAATAAAGTTTTATGGGAACAAAGCCACACCTATTCTTTTACAGATGTGTATGGCTGCTTCTGTACTACAAGGCAGAGTTGAGCAGTTGTAGAAGAGACCCACACATTCTAAAATATTTACTGTCTGGCCTTTGACAAAAAAGTTTGCACCCTCTGGTTTCGCTTGCTAAACCCAGGCAAACTCTGATACATGTGTACCAATTAAATGTCTTTCTGATTTTTCCAGGTGAAAGTCAATATAATAGGAGAAGTGGTTGATCAGGGAAGTACTCATTTGAAGATTGATCATACGGGGTTCAGTCCCCATGCCGCAATCTATTCCACACGTCCTGATGTTAAGTGTGTGATACACATCCATACCCTTGCAACAGCAGCTGTAAGTCCCTAAAGGGCCAAAACCAACAATGACTCTTAAGAAATGTATTATTTTCATGACTTTCCTTACATGATACTTTACTGTCTGCATTATTTCAGACTCTGCCATTCAAAGTCATATTGAAAGTATTAACCCTCTATGTACCCTGAAAGAAAAGGCCCTTCAGACCAAGTGTTGCTATTTAGGAAACAACTGGATTGATAGCATTTGCATTTTTTAACTGCTCCATTTAATATTTGGGTCATTGAGTTCTTTAGAACACAGCTTCTTTCATAATTGGTACAGCATTTAAATGGAGCTGTTTCTCGTAAGTCCTTTTTTGGCTGGGGAAGAAGTGAAGAACTAAAGTGGAGGGTGGGCTGGAAAGGTGAACACAGTGAATAGGCCAACGCTTTCTGAGCTGACTGAAGAATCAGGTTTCTGTGGAAGTGTACTTAGAAACTAAATGTGTCATCTTGGCATCAACCCAATAGGTATCTTCCATGAAGTGTGGGATCCTTCCAATTTCTCAGGAGTCTCTGATCCTGGGAGATGTTGCCTATTATAACTACCAGGGGTCACTTGATGAACAGGAGGAGAGAATTCAACTGCAGAAAGTTCTGGGACCAAGTTGTAAGGTATGAAGTAGAGCTTCTATCTGAGGAGCTATTTTTGTTGGTGTTGTGTGGTGAAAACACTGTGAGCTATGCCAGTTATTTGAAGTGATTGCTTTGGAATTCTATTTTAGGTGCTGGTACTCAGAAACCATGGTGTGGTGGCACTTGGAGAAACAGTTGAGGAGGCTTTTCATTATATTTTTAATGCTCAGATAGCCTGTGAGATTCAGGTAGGAAAAATTACCATCCCACCCCCTTTTTTTGCTTTGTTATTTGCTTATTGAGTTGGGTTTTGTGTTTAATTATGTCCAAAGTTATATTGGTTGGTGGCTTTTTGTTTGGCTTTGTCTTTTAAGAGTTCTGCTTTACTTGAGTAAAGAGGGCTAACTCAGTTCTTCAATTGAAAATATTAGGAAAGAAAATTAAAATTCACATATAGACACACACATAAAGTAAGCCTCATAAACATCATTTACTCCATAATCCTATTCTTTAAGACAGTATAATTGCACATTTCTGTTTTCACCCTCTAGTGGTATAGTACTAATTGAGAGACAAAGGCAACTGCCAGTCGTCAAAGCTCATATATATTGTGGTCATTTTTACAAAAAGTGTAAGAGCAGGGCCAGAAGTTTTATAAACTCATGCATTTTCCAATGACTACAGAGCCTCAGCCTCACTACTGTAATAAGTTGGATATTTATTAACCACTCGTCTCCTCAAAGAAGCTGAAAGTACTTAATGGCCCTAATTTCCCTCTTCAAAATCAGATCCTCTTAAGGCAAATGTATTATTGGAAGGGTCACAAAAAAGAGGAAAAAATTCTACCAACTTTAACTTGTTTTAACAATCAAATTGGGTTTTTTTTTCCTTCATGGTCAAATGAGGCAATGAAAAGTTAAGATAAAGAGCAGACATCTTCTGCTTAAATATTCTTAAATTCACAGTATAATGTCTATATCCCTTTAAAGTTATAATTTCCAGAAAAAGCATTAACTGGATAGCTACAGGAACACTGCAAGAGAAGAACTTTAAAATTTGGCAGGAGAATTCAGTTTCTTCAAATGTGTTAAAAGGTATGGCTCTTAATGTGTTTTCCGTCAGGGAGGATCAGAGTCCTAGACAGTAACTTTTTCAGATAGCTGGAAAAGATACTTCAGCAGCCTGCTTTCACAAGTATATTGCCTTGTTTTTGTTGTTAGTAGCCTGAACAAGTATTATGGCTATTTGCTGAATCAAAATTGTGCCTCTTTAAAAGTAAAATGCTCGTTATAGTCTTCACAGTCTTGTGCCTCTGTGTATTTTGACATTGATTACAGGTGCAGGCATTAGCAGGGGCAGGTGGCATAGACAATCTCCTTGTCCTGGATCTGCACAAGTATAAAGCACTCACTTACACTGTGGCAACATCTGGAGGAGGAGGAGTGAACATGGGTTCCCATCAAAAATGGAAGGTTGGCGAGATTGAGTTTGAAGGGCTGATGAGGACTCTGGACAATTTGGTAGGTGAAAATTTGAACATAAACTTGGATTTCGTGTCATCAGATTCAAGAGCAGATGCTTGCATCACCTCTGGTATTGGAAGATGCTCCTTACTCCTCAGGAAGCTGAGTCTGACCCTAGGAAGATATGTCAGTGTAATTTTGCTACATTTTTAAGAATCAAACAGTGAAACATGCAGATGTCATCTTAGATTCTACCCTGTTCCACTAACAGTCAGAAGGCAGATTGCCTTCAGCTCCAGGAACAAAGACTTCAGTGAGCACTGAGATTTGGCTTCCAGAAAACTGGTTGTAGTTAGGAAAATGTTTCTGGTCAGCTGTTTTGAAATTACCTTTGTCAGGAACAGTTGTGTGAGTGGAAATTACATTGTCAGCTGGAATCAGTTTTAACCAAATCTTGAAATTTACTTAATTTCAACCTTAGTGTTATGTAGAAGTTATGTGGGGTTTGGAAGGATGTTTTCCCCTTTGTTTTTCAACAAAGGAGTCTTTTTTAATTATTTGTGTAAAGAATTAGAATCCAGATACTATGTTTGATACAGATTTGATTGCTTCAAATGCGATTTTTTCCCTCCCTAGGGGTATAGAACAGGCTATGCTTACAGACATCCTCTCATTCGAGAGAAGCCTAGGCACAAGAGTGATGTGGAAATCCCAGCAACTGTGACTGCTTTTTCCTTTGAAGACGATACGGTGCCCCTCTCCCCTCTCAAATACATGGCGCAGAGACAGCAGCGTGAGAAAACAAGGTGGCTGAACTCCCCAAACACGTACATGAAAGTGAATGTGCCTGAGGAGTCTCGGAACGGGGAGACCAGTCCCAGGACCAAAATCACAGTATGCCGCTGCTTTCCATTGTTTGCCTCTACTAAAGCTTTTGCTTAGTTACTTGTGAATTGAATGTTCTATGTCAGAAATACTGGGAGAGTAGAATATATATTACTAGCAATAATAATGTCACTGTCATTTATAGAGTATTAACTGTGTGCAAGGCACTTTGTTGTAAGTGCCATACATGAATGATCTCATTTAATTCTCCTAATATAGAGAGGATGCTTTTTTCCCCCCTCATTTTATAGATGTGGAAATGGAGGTGCATCAGGGTGAGCCAATCATTTTGTATATGGCAAAGTCAGGATTTGAATGCAGACAGTCTGGGTCTGGAACCTGGTTTTTACCCTCTATGTGATAGTGCCTTGTAGCTTATATTGTACCAGTGAATCAGAACTATAAAAGTTACCAACACATAATGTGCCAAAGTTTGTGAGTACTGCACACAGATACCCTTAGGCCAAATCTTGTAGATAGAGAAATTGATTATCTTTTTCAGCAATTTGCTTCAGATTTGGTTTAGTTTTAGAGTGCCTATCATGAAATATCCTCTAGATACTCAAAATTAGTTCATCCTATCATATAAATCAATATATGATTTATTCAATATGGAAATGCCTAGGCATCAGTGTTTTTCCCCTAGTTTATAAGAATTCTTACCTCCTAGTAAAAGAACATAATTAAACTCATAAGTTTCCCAGAGTTACTTTTACTGACAGAAACTGATGGCCAGCCATCATTAATCTTGAGGAATATTAGCATTCTTTAAGGGATATAATGTTGGGTAAATGAGGAGAATTATATAAGGCTCTTCCATCCCTATGTTCTGTTATCCTGTAGATTACTCCCAGGTTATCCCCTTTGTAAAATGCTGATCAGGGACTTGGCCTTTTCTGTCAGCCAAAAATAAAACCAAAGTGGAAAAGTGAATCTTCAGAGAATCCTTGAGTCCTTGTTGGTGACTTTTTAGCCATCCTTGGTTGATGAAAGTTCAGTGTGGGCAACAGCTATGAATGTGAATTATGTGAGATCAAGCTCTGTATCCAGGCTTGAAATACTCCCAGCATCATATTTTAAAATGCCAAAAGGAGATTAGAAATCAGTATTGATTGAGTATTCCTGTGAATAGTTATGACATTTTTTTTAAGTGAATGCTTCTTGCGAGTCTTTCTAATTAGTACAGGATATACACCAATTGCCCACTAAGTTCTGCTTAGTGAAGTTCTTTAAAATATTGAGTCAATGAACAGCTATCAAAAGCCTGTTCTATTTCCTAAACACAAAGCTTCATTTTAGAAAATTTTTTTATTTCTAGTGGATGAAAGCAGAAGATTCTTCTAAAGTTAGTGGAACACCTATCAAAATTGAAGATCCAAATCAGTTTGTTCCTTTAAACACAAACCCAAATGAGGTACTAGAAAAGAGAAATAAGGTAAGACGTACATGGTCTTCTGTGGCTGGGGGAGGCATTTTTGTGCTGTTTTATGTTAAAATCACTAGTGATTGAATCTTATTTTATACCAAGCTTAGGGGTTTGAATACAGAATTTGAAATTTAATTCAGTGTAATTTTAGGTTGTGTTCAATACCTCTAGTTCTGTGCTAGTTACTGGTGAGCAGGCTGCATGGGGAAGAAATGTTAAACATAATTTCTGCTGTTGAGAACCCTGGCATTTGTGAAAAATGTAGTTCTCTAATAGTATAAGACAACAGGAAATCACATGTCAAAAGAAGTGGAGGAAATTAACGTGAGTTGTTAGGATGCTACAAGAGGGCTTTCTGTAGGTGGGAATTATAGAGGCTCTTCCTCTAGGATGGTCAAATAGTAGGCCTTTAGGAAAAGAGAAAGTAAAGGTCATATGCATAGTTGCCCCCAAGAACTTGTTTTTCATTTCAGATTCGAGAACAAAACCGGTATGACTTGAAAACAGCAGGACCACAATCTCAGTTGCTTGCTGGAATTGTTGTGGATAAGCCTCCTTCTGTAAGTCCATGAAGCAGTATTATCTTTGGTTTTGATCTACCACATTAACTTTTTGGCATTTTATGACTATTTATTTTTACTAAAGTTAACATAAGCACAAGTTAAAAAGTAAAGTAATCCATAAGACTTAAAATGTTACCTTCAATCCCAATTTCTAGGGGTTTTCTTCCAGCATTTACCTTCATGTTTCTGAAGATCATCTTTGTTCTGCCTTTTCTTGGTTTACCAGTTTTAGACCTCAGCTATATTTTACCAGATCAATCATCAACTGTAAGAAGCACTTGTTTTGTATATATCATTAAAAGAGAAAAAAACATAATGGGTGTGATTGTAGTAAGTCATCAATTATGAGTTGAATCCCAATTTCAGAAATGGGAAGATGCGGGGGCGGGGGAAAGCGCATCTTAGAATTAATGAAAGACAATATGACTTCTCTTATGGAAGATGAGGATTTAGCCTGTTCATACAATGCCTTGTTTTCTTATTCTCCCAGTAAAGATATATCACAGTTTCTTTTGTTGAATCAGCTTTCAATGTTTATATTATTAAATGTTTACTGCTGAGCCAGGTTTACATGATTACTTTTCCTTTCTCATACAAACTTTCCTCCCCCTGGAGTTAATAATTGCCACCTTTTCTTGTTGGCTTAGTGTTTGGGGTCACTGGCTTAGTTCTTCCCAAACTTTTCAACAGAATTATAAAGTCCCTCTTAATATTATTTTCCCAAGGGCCAAAAGTAGCAGATAATGTCTCAGTTCCAGCCCTCTGTCATTCTGGTCCCTATCTGGGCTACTTGTCTTCAGGCCAGCTGCTCAGGCTCAACCTCAGGAGACCTGTGTCCCCTCTTTGCTGTATCACGTAACTTCCACCTTCTTGACTGACTCCTTCCTCATTGAGCTCATCTCTTAGTACCTTTCTGGAAAAGGATGCATAGGAAGTAGCAGAATGAAATCCTATATTCTACCTTCAGATGTGCATAAAATAGAGAATTCTAATTTAGACATAGTTTTCCCCCAAAGATGAGAAGCATCACTGTATTGTCCCCTAAACTCCATGCTGCTGTTGAGAAGTAGGAGAGCATTGTGGTTCATGTACCTTTGGGCCTTGTTTTTCTTTTAGACCTTTTCTGCATGCCTGCTGTTCTGAAATTTTATGATGCTGTGCTTTGTAGTAGATTTTTTTTTAGTCTTTGTTCTTAGCATTTATAAATGTAACCCTTATTGATCTGCAGTCATATCCTTCAATTCTGGGAATTTCTTTTTTAAGTATTTCTTCAAATAGTTTTTCCTTCCAGTTTCTTTTGTCAGGATATACTGTTAAATTGATCTCCTTGACTGAGCCTCTGATTTTTTTTCCTTCCCTATTTGCCATCTCTTTGCCTTTTTATCTTACTTTCTGGGAGATTTGTTGACTATTTTCTAACCCTTCTGTTTGATTTTCTATTTTGATTTTTTTATATTTTTATTTTTAAGACTTCTTATTCCCTGAATTTTTAAAAATAAAATCCTGAACTTTCATAGAGATAATATTTTCTATTATTGCTCCAAGAGAATCAATTTTAAATTTTCTTCAGCTGCCTGTAGTGTGTGTGTGATTTCCTTTTTCTTGTTTATCCTGATCTCTATCTTCTATCTTGGAAGCTTTCCTCAAGTGTCTGAAAATTGTGGTAGTTGCTTGCTTAATGTTTTAGAATGGGACACCAAAAAACACACAGAAGCTGTGGGTGTGCAGAGCTTGGGAATCCGGGAGCCTCACTGAGGGTGATTGGATGTGGACTGGGTTGTTTCTCTGGATAATCCCCAGATCTTCATATCTTTGATTCTTTTATCTGGGACCACTCAATTTATCCAGAGAATTCACCAGGCTCATTCTTGTCTTCCATCATATTTCTGGAAGCCCTCAGCTGTGTTTTGTGTCCTCACTCAGTAAGTTGCTCTGAAAAATAAGCCTCTGATCTCAGAGATGGGAGAGAGGTAAATGCTTGTATGGAATAGGAAAGGAGACCTGAGAACCTACCTGTACCTTACTCAGACTTTTAACCTGTCCCCCTTTTCAGCTCTTCTTCACTCCCACTTTCTGTGGTTCCTGAAGCCTCTAGTTTCTTGCCTTACCAGACCTCCACAGAGCACGTCAGCATGTGTCTCGTTTCGCATCCTTCTTTGCTGGCTTAAGGCTTCAACCTTCTCAGCTGTACTACCATGCTTCCCACTGCTTCCCATCTGCCAAAACATGTGCTAATGTTTCTCATCCTCTGTTGTCTCCTCTCCCATTCTTTTTGTCCTTAAAAGTTTATACCATTTTTGTTATTGTTCCTTTACTCTCATCTTAGTGAGGTTTTGGGAGGGATTTTTAAAAATGCATGGGCTCAGTCTGCCAGGTTTAACTCAAAGTCTCATTAATCTGTTTCCTAGAGCAAATAGCTACAAATTTATTTTCATAGCAAATTAAAAGAAGTTCTTTTGATACAGTTTCTTTTCCTAAGCCTTTTTTACAAAGGCTTTTGAAATGAGGAAATTCTTGGTTTTTAAGGTATTTCTTAGTTATGGGAAGCTTATTAGAATTGCCTTAGTTTTATTTTATTTTTTTTAAGTTTTTTAAATTGACCTATACAGGCTTTTAAGGAAACAGCACTGGAAATTTTAGTCCATTGGATCAGTAGTCTAAAATTGCACATCTGATATAAGTATTTTAAACAAAGCAGGTTGCTTTATCATTTATTATGATTTCTGTGCAGTGGGATATCACAGACACCAATATATGCCTTTATATATATGTGAATGAAGTTGAATATATATGTAATTATATTTATATTTCTGTGCAGTGGGATATCACAGACACCAATATATGCCTTTATATGTATGTGAATGAAGTTGAATATATATGTAATTATATTTATAAATAAGTATATAGGTATAAATATGTAAGTATGTAAGTATACAGGTATAAGTAAAGCTCTTACTAACGAGTCAATGCTTTTCTTTTAAGACCATGCAATTTGAAGATGACGATCTTGCCCCACCAGCTCCTCCCAATCCTTTTAGTCATCTCACAGAAGGAGAACTTGAAGAGTATAAGAAGACAATTGAACGCAAACAGCAAGGGCTAGAAGGTCAGTTAATTTTTAGTTTGAGCCTAGGATAACCACACTGCTAACAACGGAGCATCTGAAGTTGGGTGATAGAAGACAATCGATGTTTTCTTAAAATGTTCCTTTTACAATTGATTATTCTGTGTCATCTCTGCCAGTCGTTACTGACCATAGGTAGAGCTGAAATACAAAGAGCCACTACGGATCATCTATGTTAACGTAGGGAAAATGGTTTTCCTCAGGAGGTAGTGAAAAGTCTTCCGTGGTAAAGTGAAATCCTCAGATGGGTAAAGAATTATTAGCTAGAGTACATGACGATACGTTAATAGGTCTAAACATTCAGAGAATGTGGCTTTTTAAAAAACATTTTGACATAATTATAGATTCACAAGTATGTGGCATTAATGCTTTGTAGAATCTCTGTTGTTCCTGGATGTCTCAAAGTGCCAATATTGTAATTTCAAAATCAAAATATAAAGCAAACTAGAATTTCCATGTGACTTTCCTTAGGCAATGGGCACTCTGCTGAGCTCGAGTTTTTCTGACTTTAGAACCCTAAGTAAGGATTATGTTTAAGAAGTTAATGAAAACACCCCAGCTAATTAAATACTAGCCTTTTTTTTCTCAAGAATAAGAGATTCTTTATAGCAGGGGTTTCATTCCTGGGTCTTTGGATAATCTTTAGACAGTCCATGAGCCATCTGAAAAATATGTGCTTAATTTTGTACAATACACATTTGGGGAAGGGGGATTTCGGCATGGGGGACAAGAAGTCTGGGACCCCAAAAAGGGTAGAGCCTCTGCTTTAGAACATCCACAACATAGAGTTGAAATTTTTACCCAAAGGAAAATAGAACCAAGTGTTCAAGAGTTTCTGTCCATGTTAGTATCATGTAAGAAGAGTGACGGCATCCGGCTCATCCAGGGAACGATTTTTATCAGTGTTTTAGTGCCTTTGACACAAAGGGAGTCATCCTGACTCATTAATATAATTACCCTAAATGTCCTAAGTGGTATTACCGAGTTTGTTTCTTATAACATAAGGTTGGAAACTTTCTATATTTTTGTATTTTGTAAACTTTCCCTTTTTAATCTCTTATTTTTTGAAAGCCTAAAGAAGCCAGGTAATAAATATTGCACTCTAGAACCATTACCTTTTATATATAACTTTATAAATAGTTTCCTTCATATCATTATGACTTTCTGAGTTAGCTCACTAATATTGGTCCACAGGAATCACTAATTGGATATTCAAAAATTCCATGAAGCATTATGCCTCATTAATGTAGCATCATTGGTGAGGCTTCATAATTCTTGTCATCTGGCTGCTCAATATATTTTGGTTTCTAACACTCTGGCAAAAGCTAAATGCAAACATTTTATTTGCCTGGGCTGCCAGAAGCCATGTTTCCTTAGTGAGCATGTATGTAAAATTACTATTAGCTGCCAGAAATGTTAACACATTAACCTCCTCTTAAGTGCTTAATTATCAATATATGGGGTAACTGTTAGCATGCTCAGCTCATTGCTAAAGAGCCGATCGTCTCTGTTTGCAGGCATTTGATGTATGTACTAACCTCCCTTGAAATCTTATGCTTCTTGTTTTGCATGGCTTTTAACTCAACTCTTATCCAACAGATGCTGAGCAGGAATTACTCTCAGATGACGCTTCATCTGTTTCACAAATTCAGTCTCAAACTCAGTCTCCGCAAAATATCCCTGAAAAATTAGAAGGTATTCACTGTAATTTCCCATAGCATTCACTGAATTGGTCTCAAGAGTCTGTCCTTCCATTGTGTGTTTTCATTTAAGGAAATCCAAACACCCGACTGCAGTTAAGTTTGCCGTGGATTTTACTTAAAGCTCCAATAATCTTAGTTTTATTAAATGGAGTGCCACTTCTTCAGTGTTTCTATTGATTTACCTTAATCTGGATTTTGGCAACCTGTTCTGAAGAATTTGTGAAATTAAAATTAGTTTGTCATATGCCTTCCAATCAGAAGCATGAAATCATTTTTCAGTTTTGATTGCCAAGTGATCCCAAAGTTAAAGAAAAACCTGTACTGTCTTCCTCATTTATACTGACTTGATTTACAATGAATCTATCAAGTCATGAAACTGGACTTACCTAGCTTTCATTCTTTAATCTAACAACTTTGTCCGCTTCCCATTTATATACCACTTAAGAAAATAAGCTTACTAAGAGATCCATAGTCTGTTACAATAATGATCTCTTCGTTGGAGCTAAAGTAATGCTTTAGTACATTGCTTAACATATTTCAGTTGTATAAAATCGAGGGACTATGTTAACTATATAAAATAACAAAAAAAAAAACCCTCCCTTTTCGTAGAAAACCATGAGCTGTTTTCCAAGAGCTTTATCTCCATGGAAGTGCCGGTCATGGTGGTGAATGGCAAGGATGATGTGCATGATGCTGAAGACGAGCTTGCTAAGCGAGTGAGTAGGCTAACTACCAGCACGACCTTAGAGAACATCGAGATTACCATTAAGTCTCCAGAAAAAATTGAAGAAGTCCTGTCACCTGAAGGCTCACCTTCAAAATCACCATCCAAGAAAAAGAAGAAGTTCCGCACTCCTTCTTTTCTGAAAAAGAACAAAAAAAAGGAGAAAGTTGAAGCCTAACTGAAGTATTTTTATAATTACTATTATTACAATGTAACGTTGCACATTTAAATACCACATTTAAGTTGATCATTAATATGCAGTGGTAAACCAGATTGGGGGTATGCAGCAAACTGGACTTTTAAGAACTGGAAAGAGGTTTTACTAAAAGAAAAACATATTATGAAAAATACTTTAAATATCATCTCTCATTTTATATGTAAAAAAAGGCTTTGCATTTTTAAACAATTGCTAGTTTTAAGTAGCTCTGCCCTCATGAAATATTATAATTCACCACAAACAGATATCTGTCTGAATTACTTCAGGCCTTCTCCATAGTATCTGTTGGAAGAAATTACCAGTGAACAAGGAAGAGAATTTTTATTTCTCAACACCTGATTCATTTGGTAATCAGATTATAATTTTTTTATGATGATTATCAGCTGTACCTTTTGGTTCCCATCGTTACAGTGGGCATTAACAGAATGCTTTAAAAGCTTCTAAGATAAGAATCTACAACATTAGTATACACTGGCATATAATTTTTTTTTAATTTGAGAAAAGATTCATTTGGAACTTTATTCATTGTATAAAATGTTCTCACCTGAAGTAACTTTGCACCCTCCCAAAAAAAAGGTCATTTTAGTAAACTATAATTTTTGAAAACTTCCTTTTTTATTAGTTTAGAATGCCCCTTATTTTTCAACAAAGGGGATTTTGTACACATAACATGGTTTATTTAGTTTAACTCTGACAAAAACGATTTTTGTATGTTGAGATGTTTGTATACCATTCAGTACAAAAGTGTCATTAAACATATTAGCTAATCATTTAACAGTAGAGCATATTTGAGGCTGCTTGGTACTAAGTATACTTCAATATAATTCAAGAATCCAGGGCCTTGATATCAAAAGGGGATTAGAGCATTTAAAAGCATAGCTAGATTCATATTTGAACCTTTTAAATCTGTTTTTCTCTTAATATTGCTAATCATTGGAGAAGCTCTCATAAGATAATCAAATTGAAAAGGAAGAAAATGAAAGAGAAAGTGAAAAATGAAGGGAACAAAAGAAGTGGCATGAGAAGTATTCTAGTTTGGATAATAACTCATAGCCAGGATAGGATTTGAAGTGTAAATTATCAGTAGAAACATGTCCCAAATTTATAAACTTCTGCTTCTCTGTGAAAATCATTAGGTTCAATATCATTGTTGATAGTTGAATTTAGGAGGTCAAATCCTTTCAACTCATGTATCTTTACAAGGCAGCACGAGAAAAAATCAGTGGGTCTAATCCCCCTAGTGAGAAAACTACCACTTCCTGATTTTTACAAATTTGTCCTATCTTTTCAGTTAACTTTCTTTCTGATGTAAATACAAATTTAAAACTAGGCTTAATATAGTTTTTTTTTCCCCTTCACCCAAGTCGTGTCACAAATCAATGTAAAATCAAAATCAATGATCCAAAATGGTCAGTGGGTAAAAAATAACCCCAAGTGTTTCTGGGGGGTTGAGTTGGCATGTAAAAATTACATTGATTACAGTGTGTTCTGGGGCTGGTTCTCTTTGACTGTGTATGTATGATGATACAAAGTTGAAACAGAGCCTGGAAATTTCATTCTAGATCTCACTAACTACTGGAATCAGTGTTTTAATCTCTTAGTGGAAACTTTCAGTTGCTTAATTCTGTATTTGAAGTTTTTTTTTATTATGTTCTACATCATTTATGTTGTATTACAATGTATGTAGAAACAGTAACCTGTGAACTATGCTTTTCCATAACTTTTTAAAAATATATATATCTTAAATGAATGCAATGTGCATAAATATTTTTTAAACACAACAGTGAAAACTATTTGCACCTTTTGCTAATGCCTCTATTTACTTGCTTTGGCATAAAGAATGAGCCAGTGAACCCCTGTGTCCTGTGGAAAATGTATAAATGTTATCTGATATTGCTCTTAGATGTAATGCTAATTAATGTTAAATCACAAATAAACAGTATTTTAAATAGATGGATTTGGAATAATGAGCTTTCAATTGAGGGGTGGTTACTTAACCTGAATTACTTTCTGGACTCTTGCGTTTTATACTTCAGTGAGATTTTGAGTAAAATCTGAATAAGAGATGTCCTGATAAAGTTATTCTCAAATTACTTGAAAATCAACTATATGATTTTTGTCTCAGCTCATATTGGCAGAAATATTCCCCAAGTGACCTGTTACTTGACTTGATAGGTTATGGTTGACCATAACTGTATCTCTGAGAGCCTAAGATCTTTGAAGGACTTAGCATTCTGATCCTCAGTCTCAATTCTACTGTTCACATCTTTGGTTATAGAATAGGAAATGTTGCACAATATGTGCTGAGCTTATACATTACCCTTCTCTTTGCTTTTATTTATGTAACAATGTAGCAATAAAGAAAATAGCAGAAAGAATAGAAAATAGGTTACAATTCTGCATCAACATTCAAAAAATGTTCTCTTTCAGCTCTTGTTCAGTTATATATGTATTTCCTATATATTAGTTGTCATGGTATGAATGTAATTTTATTCTGGGTTTTTTCTACTTAAGATAATCCAGCCTAGAAGACTTCCACACTAAATCCCTCATATGAATGATTTATTGTGAAATTTTTTCCCCACTTTGTCCTAAAAATAGAGCACAGGAGGGGAAATTGTGGTGATTTGGGTTCTGGTTAATTGAAGTTTTTTCTACAATTACCCATTATAAAAATAAAAGGTTTGGGCAGGGAAGAATAGATTCATAGTCTTAGGCATATTTAATCTCTTTACCTTGGTTTGTAAATAACCCTGTGGTGAAAAATTGCTGCTTTAGGAAGATGCTGATTTCAGAATTCCTTTCCATAAAACAATAACGACGATTACCTTGAGTTCTCACTGGAGAGTTGACACAGCATGAGAGGTAGCGTGCATGGCCTCTGCCTTTTCCTTTGTTAGTATTTCCATTCAGCAGGGAATAGAAAACTGAATGGATCAGATTGACAGTATGGTTTGTTTGTTTTTGTTTTCTTTGTTTGGTCTTTTGTTGGACAGAAGCAGAAAACATAAGCTGGTTATTTTTTAAACTGAAGAATGTATACACATCCTAAGTGCTGTCTTGGCCAAGCCAGAATTTTAAAAAGAACAATCTTCTTTGTGGCCACTAGAGGGTGGAGTAGACCTAACAATCCATTGTGTTTCTTGTCCTTGCACTTCACTTCATTAAATAGTCTGTAGGCACCACCATGTTTGTTGTGAAATACCCAGAACTTAGTAGAGAAGACTTTTCCTTTGTTCCTTATCATTCTCCTCACTAAACTGTTCTCAACTTTGTTGTGTTAGCAGATCCCATTTCACCAGTGCACATCCTACCAGCAGAGACTCCAGTGACAATGGAGAATACATTGAAAAATTTTGATGTGTGATCTCAGAAAGAAACCATGGTAGAAAATGACTCCTCAGGGGAGTTTCATACCTGTGGGTGGCAATATAATGCCCCCTTCAATGACCTACATTTTTTGACTGGGGATATAATTGGTAATATCTATCATTTTTTGTTGCTTTCTGTGTATTAAAGATATACTAAGTGCTTTAATGATTTCCTCATTTGGCCTTTCCAGCCTCCCAACAATGTAGATGTTACCCCGTTTGTAGATCATAAAACACAGGGTTGTAGAAAAGGAAAAGGAGGTGCTAGAATTTCACCCATAGAAAGTCAGATTTCTAAAATTACTGGTGCCATCTGTGCGCCAGATCCTATGTGGCTCCAGTATACATTTTTATGGAGTTTTTTAGGATAAGGGCCATTCTTACTTTGGACTACAAATCCAGCCATGGTAAGTTCATATTTTAACACTTGATGGGATGTAGTTTTAGGATAAAGTATTAACTTTTGATTTTGAACACTTTTTTTTCCCAACAGATCACCCCAAGAACAAGGAAATTGATGCATCCCTGGGAAGCAGGAACAACCTGTGGTGATACCGTTATTCAGGGTCAAGAACCAGCTCTGAAATCCACCATGACACATGGAAGATGAGGTATCTATACCTTCACTTACATTGCAAAAAAGACTTGAGGAAAAGCCCTTCATCGTTTCCTTTTTTTTATTTTTCATTTTTATTTCCAACATTGGGGTCAGTGAGAGACATTCAAAGGAAAGTGTTATTTTAAAAACCTGAAAAGACTGTGTAATCTAGTTATAGAAGTAGTTTTAAAAATAAATACACTGATGCTCAGTGAAATAAGCCAGGTGGAGAAAGACAAGTATCAAATGATTTCACTCATCTGTGGAGTATAAGAACAAAGGAAAAACTGAAGGAACAAAACAGCAGCAGACTCACAGAACCCAAGAATGGACAACAGTTACCAAAGGGAAAGGGACAGGGGAGGATGGGTGGGAAGGGAGGGATAAGGGGGAAAAGGGGGCATTACGATAAGCACGCATATTGTGGAGGGGGAGGAGCACAGGGAAGGCAGTACAACAGAGAAGACAAGTAGTGATTCTATAGCATCTTACTACGCTGATGGAGAGTGACTGTAATGGGGTATGTAGGAGGGACTTGGTAATAGGGGAAGTCTAGTAACCATAATGTTTAAGTAATTGTACATTAACAATACCAAAATAAAATAAATCTAAAAAAATATTTGGATAGAGCCCATATGAATGCTTACTATAATCTAGAAGAGGTAGAAGAAAAAATAAAAGTAGCTGCTGAGTACTTGAAACAATAATAAATAAATAAATACACTGTATCTACTTACAACTTTATTTAAATGAATGTACTTGGAGATGATTTTTCTTGGAGAAAAATCCAGTGTACATGCTGGAGATGACAAGGATAGGCCCTTGGGGGAACTTTTGATAGAAAAAACTGAATTTACAATTTCGGTTGTTTTTTAAGGCATTTCATTTCTATGAGATAACCATTAGGGGGCAATCCTGGATCTAGATTTGGTTTTAGCTAATTAAGGAAACTTCCTTCAAAACATCTTTGAGCCTGGATTTAAAACTCCATTCTGATTATGCATTGCTAGATGCAGTCTCAGACTGAGAAAAGTTTACAGATGCCAACGTACTTCATTCATTCTGTACACCCTGGTTCTCTTGTTCTGACTTAGGAAGAATCAGTGCCCCAGAGAAGCTATGCTTGTGCTCAGGCTACTAAGCCACAATTCCAGCCAGGGGCTTCAAGTCTGCCTCTCGCACTTTTCTCCTATAGTACAGTCTCCTTTCGAAACCCATTAAGTCAGGGATAGGTAAATACACAGTTTCCTAAAGTTCCCTATAAATAATGTTTAGAACTTTTATTATGAGAATAGTTTGGAGAAACATATTGCAGAACTGAACCCATATGTTATTTACAAATAATTGTTTTTCCTAAAATGTCAAGTCTGTTAAATACTCTCAGAGTTTTTTGTGTATTTTCAAGTTAAGTGCTGATTTCCTTTCTGCTGCAACCTGTGATATTTTTAAATGCCATTTATACTTTTGATGACAAACTGGCACCTTTTGATATTCCTTCAATAATGAAAAATGTTCTGTTTTATCCTGCAGGAAGATAGATGGGTATATACCCAATCCACCATTATTTTTAAGGCATGTATAATTTCGGCAGGGGTGAAAGTTATTGTTTGAACTAGCTTTTGTTTTATTGTTTTGCTTTATTCCTACACAAACTACTTTAGGTTTTGTCATTTTCCAGGGTCAGTCTTGGTCTTGCTTATTATGGTTTTTAAAAAAAAAAAATCCCTTATTTTTCAGTCCCAAGGAACTCCTATCACGAGACAAAATACAAGTTCCTTGCCAAATTCCATACTTTAAAATCAGTGGCACAGATTTTATTAATTGGGATGTACATTGTAGAATATTAAATTTCTAAGAAATCATTTGAAAAAACATTTTAATGTGCCTTTGAAGTGACAGAGAACTAATATGTAATACACAATCTTATAGGTAGGATTTTTCCCCATTGTCGGTTTACTTTCATTAGACTGCCCCTCAAAAAGCCAGTACAAATGTGAGCCCTATGAAAGACCAATTTGGAGTGCTAATTAACTGGGCTTACTAGGCCAAACAGTGCCCTGTCAGGTTGATATGTAGACTTAAGATTTTTCAAGGAAAAATATGAATTTCCCAAAACAGTAATATCCTAACAAGTGGGGATGGGAATGAGGAAGTAGTATGAGTATAAAATGAAGGAAATGAGAGGTAGACTGTTTTTTGGATTTCCCTCAGGCACTCTTGACTTTAAAAAATCTTTTCTGGGTTTAAGAAAAAAAGTTGGCAGTGACCATTCTAGTCTGGGCCTGGAGCTGCGCCGCACCCTTTTCAATGATTTGCCAGAGTCATGTCTCTCGTTACTTACTTAATGTAAGGGCATTTGCTTTCATAAACAGGATCTAACCAATGGTTCTTTTGAAAAGAAATAGCTTCGGAAAAATCTTACTGTGCGGGAGCTGCGGAGGAAGTCGTTGCATTCTATAACTCACCCCTTTCCTGTTGAGAAACACTCTAGGGCTGGGTTGCAGTGGTGCCTGGTTTGATAGACTTTGACTTCAGAATAGATGACTTCCTCCGTTTAAGGAGAGAACACATAGATACAGCCAACTTGTAGGCTGGCACAGGCAAAACCTTCCAAAAGTGTTTACTGGACTAACAAGTTGAGATTAAACATTACTTCCTACCTGATTTCTATTTTGGAAATGTTGGCTTCAATTGTTTCAACTCAATTAAAGGTCATTTGAGGCTATTTAGACAATTAAAATGTATTCTAATAAGATCTGCTGGTCCACAGGGTGGGAGGGGAGAAAAGTGGGGGGAGGCTCCCACTGTATCTGGATGTTTGAATGTGTTAAGCCTTTTAAAATATGTTGTGTGATAATTGAGATGCTTCAGTTTTGAAGTATTTTTTTAATATTTCATATTTTAGAACTATGTATATGAAATGATTTTGTATAAGTATGTTCTCATGTCTCAATTTTGACCTTTAGGTTAATGTTGAGCAAGAGTACATACACATACACTTGCTAAAGTCAAACTGAGCATGGCTCAGTTAAGTACAGAAGAACAGGGCAGACTGGGTGGGGCAAGTTCTGGAGTTCTGCCCACTTGCTGAGCAAAGTCAGGCTATTGGGGGAACAGCTTGAACTGAAGCAGCTAGTAGGAAGTGCAGCCCAGCAGGTGAAAGATGGAATGTGGAGGATGTGGCGGTCAACCAAAAGCCCAATCTGGTAAAGTGGCCTGCGTCAGGGAGGTGTGAGTCCCTGCCAGGGATCTGGAGCAGGAAAGCAGGATTGCAAAGGTCTTGTAGCATGTGCAGGAGCCCCAGCCACAGGCTAGGCTCTGAGAGCAGCACTTCCTCTACTTCCTGTGGTGCAATGGCAAGATCAGGGCAGGACCCCAGGTTTAAGGGCCTGAGTATAGTTTAGGACAGGAACTCAGATGTAAGGAGAATGACAGATGGGGATCCTTTTATCAGAGCTGAGGTATAAGATACTGCTCAGAATCCCAGGAGCAAGGCAGTGCTCGGAACCAAGACACAAGGTCGTGGCTGGCCTAGAGACAGGCATGGCTTGTTGCTGAGTGAGCCAGAGCCTGGAGCTACAACTGCCTTAGTGCCCCCACCTCATCAGGACTAGTGCTGGAGACCACAGCCAGGGCAGGGGTCAGGCAGCCAGACTCATGTCTGAGGAAAGGAGTGCTGCAGACAGGAAGGGGCCCCACCCAACTTTCAAATGGAAGCAGCCCCTTGCGATGACAGACTTGGCCGTGTAAGAGTGTCACAGGGCAGCAGGAGTGGGTTATTAATATTTCACACCAGAACCTACCTAGGAGGACTAGCAGCGACAAATGAACAAGGGCCAAGTGCTACTGAAACACTAGCTGTGAAGACAGCCATATGTTCCTTGTGAACTAATCTTTCCTATCTGAAGACACAGTTTTGTCATAGAAAAATTGGTTCTGCTGATGACTCTGGCCTCCCTACTCATAGACACTGTAAGATGCTCCTCAAAGTACTAATTGAATAGAAGAGAATCAAAGAGAGTGGTCAGTGTTTCCTTCTCCTGAAATAAATGTGGTCATGACTTTAGCTCTCATTCTACAAGGTACATCCTCCATCACCCTCTGGCTGTGGGAATAGCCTTTTGCCACTGAGTCAGAAGGGCTCTGATTTGTCTTGACACATTTGCCCAAATAACGACCTCTCAGTTCACTCCTCCTGCCTGCTACTAGAGAGAATGGCTTCCTTGGGCCCTTCCCTGTAGGAGTTCACATCTGTCGTTACCTGTTTGAGTCTTTCAGTCATCTACTCCCAACAGTTGTACAAAGAACATCCATTCCTACTCGCTGGCACACAGAGCCTCTTTACATTCATATGCCATAGGCCCTGTACCTGGCAGAGGGTTGCACCCTTCCAGATGCCTTCCTAGCTCTCCATCTGGCCTGAGGATATTTCTCTCATGACTTTCTTCCTTTACCAAACTCCAGTAGCCCTTTGGGATCATACTTACCTCAGCCTGTCTTAAATTAACAGCGTCCTTAAATTAACATGTCCTCCACCATGCTTGGCCAAAAATAGATTCTGTGTTTTGCTCACAATGAACAATACTGTTCAAGTTGATGGCATATTAATAATATGTACATAGCAAAAAGATGTCCTTACATATCTTAAATTTGAAAAGTCAGGGAATAACTAGGGGGGAAAATCCTAGTTAGAGTTATTAGTCTGATCTGTAAGGCAAACAACAGTAATAATGCTAGTTTATCAAGCGCCAACCATGTGTAGGCATTGTACTTTGTGTCTGAGTTACAGTATCTGCAGTATGGAGTTATTGCTGTCGCAGGGAGACTGAGACTTAGAAGCAAAGTAACTTGTTTCATATTACCACCTAGTAAGTGGAAGATCAAGATTCAAATCCAAGTCTGGTTCTTACTGTTATGCCAGGTGTTCATGAGATGCAGCCTTTTTATCAGCTGATAGGAAAGTCAGTTATTAGGCAGCAATGTCAGAGATGTCTTCCCAAAGCTGTCTGCTGGCTGAAGGGGCTTTTACGTGAGGGAGCGTTTACCCCGGGGCAGATTGCCCGGGGCGGCCCCACTGGCATTCACTCATCCGCAGTGGAATGGGTCCTCCTGTCCAGTATAAAGTGTGCTTTTGGTTAGGAGCCCAAAAGGACAACTTGGGGTATACACAAAGGCTAGAAGACTGAGTGTTGGTCTTAGCAAATACTATTACAGGTATGCTATTAAATAAACAGTGATATGACCGCTATATCCTGATCAGCAGTGTGGTTTTCTAATTCCTGTATTGCCTATTGGATCTTCACTAATTGTTTAATTGAAGGCTGCTGTCATTGATAGAGGTTGTTGGCACATTATAACTGAGTGTGTAAAATGTTCAGAGCTAGAATTTGCTGAGCACTAAGTGCTTTAAATGGATACGTTAATGTAATTCAACATTAATTGAATTAAACTATTACCCCACCCCCACCCCATTTTACAGATGAGAAAAATTAAGTTTGGAGAAGTTGTCCAAGGTCACACAGTAAGTGGCATAGCTGGGGTTCAAACCTACATAATCAAACTTGAGAGCCTATATTTTTGACTTTGAATCCCAAGGACAATTGTTTGTTATCTTACCATCTTAATTTACCTGGCTCTCTGGGGAGAGCAGATATCAATTAAGTAAACTATTACATTGTACTGTGTTTGTGTTTTCTTGCACCTTGGTGTTAGAATATTCTAGCTGTGGGTGCATGATATGTTACACATTATCTTATTAAAGTTATGCCAATAATGCTCTCAAATTTCCACATTGAAACTGTAGCCGGTTTTTTCTTTGTCCAATAATAAATCATTGTAGTATAATAATTTAGAGTTTATGCTCTGGAGTCAGAGACCTGACCTTGATTCTGAGTTTTTCACTTTTCTATAAAACGGGTATAATAATTGTACTAATCTCTTAGGGTAGTTCTAAGAATTAAGTGTGATTACAGTATACATAAAACTTAGCATGGAGCCCAGTGTTAAGCCCTCGATTAATGTAGGTATTGTTAATACTCTCTTTTCTGGTCTCCTTTGTCTGCTAGAAGAAAATGCATATTAGGAAAGAAATCAAGCTATAGCTGGCTTATCCCTTTCCCCGTTAACCATTCGAAATGTTGTCATTCCTATTTTTTCCTGAATTATTTGCACAACTGCGACTAGATTCCCCATCTTTGAGAAAGAAAGGCAGGTGATGACAGGAAATGAACAGAGAGCCCTATCTCACCCTTTTCCAGTGAAAAACCTTGCTGTGGAAAGGTGATGGACGAAGGAATTATGCTGATTCCTCCCAGACGGGTACTCCGGAGCAGCAACTTCAAGCATAATGAAAATGCCTAGACCTAAGGCAGCTTCCTAGCAAGTCCTGCGGGACTGACAGGTCATTGTGAGTCTGACATGTGCAGTGGAAGTAACCGCTTGTGGGTCTCCTGCAGAAAGGATGCCATTTCCTAGCTGACTTTGCCCCGTGAAAGCTGAGTGCCACCATGCAGGACTGCTCTTTGGGACTCCACTGCCACATTTTGGTGAGCTGAGAAAGTCCTCTGTGAACAAGCTTAAAGGATGCTTCACAATCTGGTTTCTATCTTGCTGATTCCCTGGTGACGGAAGTTAGAATTGTTCTCAAAGCAATCTGGAGAAGACCCAGAAAAGGCAGGTTTGTATCAGGCCAGGGCTGGGCAGGGCATTAAGAAAATAAATCTTTTTAAGAAAAGCCTGCGTATACACACAATGTAATGGAAGAGGGTGCAGGGAGCTGACCACAGAATATGAAATCCTGCAGTTTAAAAAATTAAACTGTACACTATGAATATTTCATATTTGATATAGGGGAAATGCAAAAGAATACACCTCAAACACCATATATTTAACTGGTGATTTCTTGGTGGTGGGATTATACAACTGCTTTTTATTTTCTTGACCCTCTTTTATATTCTAAATTTTGAATAATAAAGTATTAACTCAAAATCAAGAAATTATGATAATTAGAAGAAATGTTATGTTTAAGTCATAGCAATATTGAATAATAAAAAGCAGAATGCAGAACGATGCCTATAGTATGCTACCATTTGCATAATAAAGGGGGAAAACAATATTATATATAAAATATTGTATATGTATATGTATAAACTACCCTGGAAAATTAAACCAGAAATCAGTCACAGAGCACCGCTCATGAGAAAGGGAACTGACCTGTAGGGGACAGGGTGGGATGGAGACCTTCCCAAAAAATGCTTTATAGTTTATTTTTTGTCTAGTACCTATGTAAAAAGTTTTTTAAGTACAGTGTATATTTTTTTCCCAAGAGTTCCTGAAAACTGCCAAAAAACTAAGTGAACTGTATGTTCACCATTTTCAAACATGCTCAGTATGATTACAGTAGGTAGAATGTGTGCAAGATACTAAGATACCATCCACCATACTCTATGGTGCTATTTATCTAAAGGCCCACATGTCAAATCCATATCATCATTCAGAGCAAAAAAAAATTAGTTTTAACATGACCCATCACATTTCCATTTTTGCCTTGGCTTCTAAGAAGCCTTAGGGCTATATTTTGTCTTATAACCAGACTTTCTGGTTGAAGGGAACTGTCACAAACTTTTTCCCTGTACCCACCCCACTTACTACCTCACTCTCATCTTTCAGATCTTGTTCTAATAGTTTCCACTTCGTTATAGCTGCGCCTTTATATGCAGCTTCAAACCTTTTGGAAGGCAGTGAATATGTACTACTTATTGCTGTGTAATAAATCACTCAAAATGCTGAGGCTTAAAACAACAGAATGCATTTGTTATCTTTCACAGTTTCTTGGGGTCAGAAATTCGGGAACTTTCTGGCTCGGGGTCTTTCAAGAGGTTGTGGCCAGAGCTGCAGCAATCTGACGGCTGGGCTGGGCTGGAGACTCTGCTTCCAGGATGCTTGGCAAGTTGGCGTTGGCTGTCGGTGGGTGAGAGACCCTCAGTTCTCCTCGCATACGTGTTCTCCTGATAGTGTGGCCCAAGGAGCAGACAGTCTACGATGCCGAACACACGAGGCCGGCATGACCTCACTTCAGCAGCCACACACCTTCGCTTCTGCCGTATCGTCTCCCATTAGAAGCAAGGTGCTAAGTCCAGCGCATCTTCAAGGGAAAGCTATTAGGTTCCACCTTTTGAAGAAAGGAGCGTCACAGTGTTGCTCATGGGAAACCCTCGTAAGATTGTATATCAATGATGCTTTAGTAAAAAAAAAAGTCAAAGAATTTGTAGTCATATTTAAAAACCACTGCAGGGCTTACTGATCAGAATTAGTCAATTAATATCAAATTAGTCAAATGAGAAGGAAAAGACAATGAGAAATGAAGGCCATTTGTAGATGGAACACCCGCTGAGTGCCCACTGGGTCCTAGGCCCTGTGCTTCACAGACGTTATTGTGTTTAATTCCATGCACACTTAGTTTTGCAGATCAGGAAAGTGGAACTCTTAAGAATGTATAACTTGTCCACGGTCACATAGCTAGTAAGCGTCAGAGGAGCACGTCAAGGACATGTCAGCCTGAGGCCACAGCTGTGCCTGTCACCCTCCTCAGTGGAAAATAGAAAGCTGCCTCAATTTTTGTTACCTTGACTTATCTAAGTCATGACCATTTTGCCACCAGCGAAAAATGTGATTAATATTCCAAGTTGAATGAATTCTGACAGAGCTGTTTAACTCATTTCTGAATCCTCTGGAATCAAACAGGTGCTGATTCTCCATCAGAAACATACACACACACACACACACACACACCACCACCACCACCCCCTTCGGTGGTA